TAATCATATATATATGTATATGATTAAAGAAAGACCATAGAATAGGGAAATACTGATAGACATATATTGACAAATGACAGTGTATTTAAAAATGATCATAGAAACCAAGAATAAGCAGACTCCCTGTTATATCTCTGAATGAAAATTCCTTAGCATTGGGTATAACCTCCTTCTTTGAATTCAGTGCCAAAGTTGGCTTTCAGTGAACAAAAACACTAAAAGATCTTTGATTTTTTAAAAAATTGAATCATTAGTTTTTAAGAAAACATTCTAATTAAAATGTGCTCTAAAACACTATCTTAAAACTTGACATATGCAGGTTAAAGAACCTGACATATGCACGCTGCATCAGTGGCCCCAAATAAGCCATGTTTCCTAATAGTCTCACTTTCCATAGTTCCTCCTAAAATGACTCTGGGCTTGGTCATATCAGTCATCTGAAGACTTGTAGCCAAATAGACAATAGTAAGCATTACTCAAGTACAGGCAAACTTTGGAGATTTTGGGGGGTAGGTTCAGACCACTGTAATAAAGCAAATATTGCAATAAAGCGAGTCACATTTTTTTTGGTTTCCCAGTACTTACAAAATTTATGTTTTTACTATACTTTCATCTGTTAAGTGTGCAATCGAATTCTGTCTAAAAAGACAATTTCCATACCTTAATTAAACACATTTTACTGTGAAAAAATGCTAACCATAATCTGAGCCTGTTGGGAAATATACACTTTTCCTGGGTATATACCTGAAAAACTTAAAAAAACATGTATTCACAAAAATATTTGCACACCTATGTTCATTGCAGCATTGTTCATGGTGCCCAAGAAATGGAAACAACAAAATTGTCCTGCAATAGAGGACTGGATAAAGAAGATGTGGTCCATACACACAATGGAATGCTACTCAGCCACAAGAAAGGATGAAATACTGCCATTTGCGAAAACATGGATGGACCTTGAGAATACTATGCTAAGTGAAACAAGTCAGTCAGAAAAAGCTAAGAGCCATATAATTTCATGTGGAATATAAGTTCTTATGTGGAATATAAGAACTGAAACTCATGGACACAAATAGCAATGTAGTGGTCGCCAGAGGGAAGGGGTGGGGGTGAAGGGGGACATAATATATGGTGACAGGAGCTTTGACTTTGGGTAGTGAGCACACAGTACACTACAGTGGGGCCTTGACTTACGAGTGTCCCGACTAATGAGTTTTTTGAGATATGAGTCATCTCTTGGATGATTTTTTGCTTTGAGTTGCGAGCTAAAATTCGCGTTACGAGCCAGCTTCAGATACCCCACCGCTAGTTGGCGCAGCGAACGTCACAGTGAACGCCACAACATCAGCCCAGCATCACATGTCTCACTCCTTCACTTTAAGCGGTTAGCTCTTAGTTGAAGCATCAGTGTTGTGCTCGCATTTGTGCTCGCAGTTATTTTGCAAAACTTCGTTTTTTGGGTGTCCGGAACGGATTAATGGCATTTCAATTCATTGTAATGGTGAAAATTGATTTGACATAAAAGTAATTTGAGTCACGAGCTCCGTCATGGAACGAATTAAACTCGTAAGTCAAGGCCCCACTGTATACAGATCTTGTAACATAGAAACCCGCACTTGAAACTTGTATGATCATATTAACCTGTATGATCACTTCAATAAATTTAATTAAAAAAACTTAGAAATATATACATAACATTTAAAAAAAATGGTGCCAATAGACTTGCTCAATGCAGGGTTGCCACAAATTTTCAATTAGTAAAATGCAAAATCTGCAATAAAGTGAAGAGCAATAAAATGAGCTTTGCCTGTACAGGCTGGAAAATGCTTGCATATTGGGCTTCGTTTGGAATTCAGGTGCCTTGCTATAAGAAAGCCTATCAATTTTTTCCAACAGCCAGCACCAGACATCTGAGTGAGTTCTTCTTGGATGTTCTAGCCACAGTAGAGCTCTTGGTGGGAAGGTTCACATGAGTGATCCTAGCCAGTATCACATGGAACAGAACTACCCAGTGGAGCTTTGTCCAAATTCCTGATGCACAGAACTCTAAGCAATAAACTGGTATTATTCTAAGTTATTATATTTTGGAGCGTTTTGTTACACAGCAGTAGTTAACAAATACAGTAAATGATATCAGGGACTTCTCAAAGTTCTTCTTAAAAATAATTCCAAGGTACATTTTTCATTGACACACACCTATATTTCTGTCATCTATTAATTTATTATTGAGTCTATAGCTCTCTTTCTGACTTTAACCAGCTTGATAGGGCTGAGGTAGTTAGTTTATGTGAAGAGCATGGTTAAGCATGGCTTTATTGTGTATTGACTCAGACAAAATGCCAAGTACTTGCTGGATCTCAAATAAATAGCATTCTTGATGATGGTAGATAGCTTAAATTAATTCCACTCCACAGTGATCACACTGTGGGTGGGATAGCATGGTGGAAATAAATTAACTTTAAGAAGTTTCAAGCACATAAACCTTCTGTGGTCCAATCAAGCCATTTCCTCTGTGTTGCTCTAGGTGGAGCTGTGTCCTGACCCCAAATTTTAGGCACCAGAATGTGTAACACACTCTGGGATTTGTTCTGTTAAGGAATGATTTTTTGAAATGTGAAATTTACTAGATTGAACAAACCATTGATTGTCTGTTTCCATCTTCTTTCTCTAGAGCTAATGTGCGTTACTAAAAGAATGCATGAGAAGTTGAAGCTGTAGTAGAAGGGAAGTAGAAAAGCCTGAGGCATTGGGTGGGAAACAGTGATACTATTTCATTGAATGGGTGGATTGTATCTCAAGCTAGAAAGGACGGCAACTAACTGGTTCTAGCGACAACAGTGTCTGGATACCTATTGGAAAAAGATGTCACCTGCCATTAAGTATAACTGATGTTAGCATAATCGATACTATTTCCATGTCCCTGGACAGAAGGTTTAGATACAAAATGCCACTAAAGGAGGGTCCTGATCAGACAATGACACAGATGTGACACTTACAGAAAGTAGGATTTGGATGGCACTGTGGATGACCTCCAGGTACTGGAAGTCGACGATGCAGCCTGTGACAGAGACGTACGTGTAATCATCCATCATGCCGTGGGCTGATGGAGGCAGCACTCTTCGGACACAACCAGGCCCATGTTCCCGCCACCATGACCGATGTACAGAAATGTTGAATGTCATTAGGTCTGTATCCTAGGTGGGGAGGAGACAAGGGAACAGACGGTGACAATCATATCAAATCATACCTTTGATTTTCTCCTTAGGGAGAACTCAGGATGGTTGAAATTGTTGAAATGATTTAAATTTCAAGTGCAAATTAACAAAGACAAAACCAGACGTGACTATATGTATCACATGCCTAAACTGTGTGGAGACACAATCTTTTGAATAAGAACATTCCAAGGTTAGCACACATCAAGAGTCCAGAGATGAGGCCCTCTATCTATGTTCATTTTAAAGATTATTTTGTTCATTTTGAAACTTTTTGTGTGCAGTTTCTTATTTCATTATCATTGATATCACCATCATGTGCTAACATTTATTGAGTGCTTTATTGCGTGTAGACATTTTTCTAAGTACTTTTCATATATTACATCCTTTAATTTTCATGTATATACTACTACCAACCTAACTTATAATTGGC